CTTAAGCTAGTGCCTGGGCTGTCTGTATGGTGAGTTACAACGTCAATGGACACAACACCGGATATCCTTATCTGGTTTAGCCCACTGGTCGAGGTGGTTACCGGGATTAGACCACTAGGCAGAGCCTGCCTTTGAGGAGCCACAGGTGCTAGGTGGGTGCTGGTTAAGGAGCGACACAGGGGCATTCACCCCCTGCACAAGATAAATGGAGCAGCGTAGTGCTATCTGCGCGGTGCCCCCTAAGCAGTCATCCCAGCATATAAATCGATAAACCGATTCAGTATCAGTTTATTGAGGGAAAGATAGGTGAACGCCTTTGAACTCCCTATTGGTAACAAGATGACAGGAAGTATGGATACAAAGAAAAATTTAAAAAGCGCGTCAATTACCCGTCCCAAGGAAGACACAGGAGCTGTCAGGTAGTCTAAATAGTAATAAAAACACAACTACTCGTTAATCAAGAGTAGCATAAAGTTATGTCGTTTTTACACGGCGGTGTGTCATGCTGGGATTTGGTGCATGTCCAGTCTGCTCTTAAATGGATTAACACAGGTGGAGAGGACAACCTCTTCGGGAAGGGCGTTCAACGTTGCAACTGCTCTGTTGCTGAAAAAGATTGATGCATACCTTCTCTGAGTGCATTACTTTCAAGAATTCAGTCTTTTCTGATTGGGCAATGTCAACTATAGGGAAATTTGTACTTTTCCTTAGGCAAAATGTCTATAACATGCAGTTTGAGAAACTAAAATTCAAGTGTACCGGTCGGTAGGGTCCAAAATTATTATGCGATTTGGAAATTTAAAAAACCCAAAGACTCCCTGTCTTCAAGTATGCGATTTGAAGCAGACTGTGGTCCATCTTGCAGTAATTGGTTCGAATCAAAGACATATTTCAGAATTTTAGTTGACGTTTCATGAGATAAAGAATTTGCTGTAGTTCATCGGTCGTGAGATTTTACTTATCTCTGTTTCGTCTTCTTTTTTCGCTCTCAGGTGTTGTCGACAACGAGCCAAGCACCAGCAGTTGCTATCAAGCGTCAGTTTCTACCCTCAGCACTTTGATTTGTTTTATAAAAACGCTCGCGGAAGAATGTTCCTCTGCCATCGAACGTTCTTCTGCTATTACGGGTGTCAGACAGGCTCTCGCACTGGAAATGGACCTGGTGATTAACGTCTTTAAGGTGGGTCTTCTACCTCTGTACTGGCAAAGTATTAACCAGAATACATTGTGTTTCTGCTTAAATTTGAACTGATGGCATGCGAATGGGCTATTTTGCCCTTTTCAGCATGTGCTGTCTAATGAAACTGATCCCGCCGTGCTCTCGGAGTGTATGGCGGCTTCTGCCGAGTGGATGGACTCTGTGGTCATTGAGTCAGTGTTACCTACCCACAGTGATCTAGTTGACTTACTCTACCGACTAGCACCAACCTCCCCGGCCATCTACGCAAGTGTTTGCGATGCACTAACGGAAATTTTCAACTGTGGACATTGCGGTTTGGAGTAAGTTTCTGCGGTCTTACAGTTCCCTCTCTGCCGATGGTGATCATTGACCTCACTGTTTCACGCTGTCTTCCCTCTTTCCCTGCCAGGGCTAATAAACGGACGCAGTCCATGCTTCTGCATCAACTCTCACTACTTGCCGGTCTTCAATCATCCTTTTATGCGGCGCTTGAATTGCACTGTGCGAAGGTGGAGGTCGTAGAAGACGAGGATCTACGCGGTCAGTGCGGAGCAGTCATTCAGTCTACGGCTTCTCTTCTTGAAGTCTTCGCCGACTTGCAGGTCTAGCTACATTACTATTCAACGCACATGCAAGGGTCCGAATGATTACCTGTAGTGGCTGCTCGCTGCTCGTTTGTTGTTATCAGCCAGATATACCTCCCCCGATTCCTGCCAACCTCCTGACATCGGAACCCAAATTAGATTGTCGCTCAGTCCAACGCTCGGTGTCCGGTAGCCTATACAGATTTGTTTTGTTGGGGTCATTAGACTTGAAAGGCCACTCTGTGCTAAGACCTTTCGAGCCGACTCAATCCTTTTTGTTGAAAGAACTGAACCGGGGACAGCTCGTCTGAAAAGATACCTTGGGATGCTAAGGTTGTAAGGTATGCTAGTAGAAGGCGCTAGGTTCCTGTAAATAAGTCTTTTGAGTGACATGCTCGTTTATTCTTCTTTACCGGCTGCGGTCCCTGTTCATAAAAAACGAAAATGAGAAGATAAGATATCAGCTAGTTAGGCAGACGTGTAATTTTCATAAGCATTCCTCAGACCCCGCTCCAGGACGTTTTAACTGGGTAAGATACGAAAATAGGACTCCCCCTCCCAATACAGGTGGTTGTGTGCTGTATTCTAGCAGCGACACCTATTCCTGCGTCCTTATCCTAACCTAACCCTTATCCTACTGGAATTTAGCGCAAGGCGACATATACTAGGGGGGGGGG